ATAGTTCTCACCTGAGGTATATATCCATGCGCAGCAAGAGCTTCACAACGAGCAAATCGAACTTCAATCGGATCCATGGGAAGATAAGCAGCAGCCAAAACAGCATCAACTTCTTCGTGGACAAGAGCGCTTGAAACGGCTGCTTGGCCATCTGCCATGATTCCAGCAGCAGAGGGAAGCTGAAATCAACATTTACAAAAAAAGAAAATGCAAACTTAAAAGTTGCAGCAGCACAACTGGGCAGATTCACAGTTCATTGTAAGTATAGATGAACTTTCAGCTTTCATTTTTCAGTAGATCCTTCCAGGTTGATAAAAAACAAAATCACCTACCTGAACATCACTTTCCTGTCCCGACTCTGAGCTATCGTCTTCGTGCATGACTTCTTCGTGCAATCCCCGTCGACGACGTTCATCATTCTGAGATCATACACTAGTAAAACTGAATTATATAGCAATTCTAAAACAGAATACACTATTACAAAAGGGGTAGCATCCAGTAAAAATTTAAAGGAAAAAAGAATTAAAATTAGCTGACTCCAACAGCGGCTCTAATTGCATAACGAACTGCACGATCCAAAGAAGCTTCATCGTTGAAAATAGGAAGGGGAGGAAAGTCCAAAGAAGCCAGAGCAGCTGAGGATCGCATGCGATTCTGAAATTGCACACTATATCGTTCCTAGGTTAGGACTTTATTGAAAATGACCTTTCGTTTCTTTTTCTTGGATTTTTCGTTCCTCTTTGACATTGACCCAACTGTTAGCGGTTGCAATGGCACATTTGTCTCGCTACCACATGCCTGTTCAGATGCATTTTATATAACAGTACGGAATACAACAAGATTGCAAACCTCAGGAAGATGTAAGACCGCAACCTGACTGACTCCGGGTACTGTTTCATCAATCAATGCATGGCAGACCTGATTAGCGCATCATTTCGTGTACTAACAAATAAAAATAAAAAAAATAAAGGACAACCTGCAGGGCCGGGTGAAACCCTGGAAACTCCAATAATCCAAAATGGGCATTATTTGCGGACAACGGGCAATTATTTGCATCTTGGATGGAGTTTAGAAGTAACGCCGCCTGAAAATAGCAAATTAGGGTTTAGCTTACCAATATGGTATACACAAAAGGTATCACAAGAAAATAAAAAAAA